CCAGTGCAGGGATTGGCAGAGGGGGGTTGCAGACACTGGGCGGTGGGTAAGGTGAATGAGTCTGGCAGCAGCATTCATGATAGACTGAAGGGGGGAGGAGCCTGTGTAGTGGAAGGCCAATGAGGAGGGAGTTGCAATAGTCTAAGACGAGAGATAACAAGTCAGTGGATGAGTAATTTCGTGGTTTCATTGGTGAGGAAGGGGCGTATTTTGGAAGTCCCATGAGGCATTGCAAGACTGACAGTTACAGCCATGACTCCCATATGGTAGAGGCATGATGGGATTTGTAGATAAAGGACAGCTGGAGGAAAGGAGTTGCCCACCCCTGATTCATAATGTCAGGATCCCCTCCCCTGTTAAAACATTAGTAGATCCAAAATGTACCGGCATATTAAAAAATTGGGGTTTCCACTTACCTCACCCCCGTCACCCCCTCATGATGATGTCACTCTCCTTCTGGCCAGATCCCGGGAATACAGAGCAGCCGATATCGCATGAGAAGACACTGCAATGGATCGGAGTTTCTTCTTGCTCTGCATTCGCCAGAAATCTTCCCAGAAGGACGGCGACATCACGCCCAGCGACGCGGAAGATGGGGGCAGAATTAAAGCTGAATTCCGGATATACTTTTATTTGATATATTTTCTTCAAAAACCCCAAAGGATACACTTGGTGTGCGCCAAATGGCGTTGCAAACCCAGATATTGCGTTGCACAAGTAGCAGTGACATCATCAATGCGCTGTACATAGTACATGCAGAGAGCAGAGCTGTGGGAGGGACCCCAACAGGCCGCACCCACTAGTACAGAAACAACAACACAGCAGGGGGTGGCAACAATACCAGTCACGCTGCACAAGGAGAGAGAGAGCAGCAGTGAGCGGTCTTTATTACAGGAGGGGGTGGAGACAAGACCCGTCGCCCTGCACAAGGAGAGAGAGAGCAGCAGTGAGCGGTCTTTATTACAGGAGGGGGTGGAGACAAGACCCGTCGCCCTGCACAAGGAGAGAGAGAGCAGCAGTGAGCGGTCTTTATTACAGGAGGGGGTGGAGACAAGACCCGTCGCCCTGCACAAGGAGAGAGAGAGCAGCAGTGAGCGGTCTTTATTACAGGAGGGGGTGGAGACAAGACCCGTCGCCCTGCACAAGGAGAGAGAGAGCAGCAGTGAGCGGTCTTTATTACAGGAGGGGGTGGAGACAAGACCCGTCGCCCTGCACAAGGAGAGAGAGAGCAGCAGTGAGCGGTCTTTATTACAGGAGGGGGTGGAGACAAGACCCGTCGCCCTGCACAAGGAGAGAGAGAGCAGCAGTGAGCGGTCTTTATTACAGGAGGGGGTGGAGACAAGACCCGTCGCCCTGCACAAGGAGAGAGAGAGCAGCAGTGAGCGGTCTTTATTACAGGAGGGGGTGGAGACAAGACCCGTCGCCCTGCACAAGGAGAGAGAGAGCAGCAGTGAGCGGTCTTTATTACAGGAGGGGGTGGAGACAAGACCCGTCGCCCTGCACAAGGAGAGAGAGAGCAGCAGTGAGCGGTCTTTATTACAGGAGGGGGTGGAGACAAGACCCGTCGCCCTGCACAAGGAGAGAGAGAGCAGCAGTGAGCGGTCTTTATTACAGGAGGGGGTGGAGACAAGACCCGGCACCCTGCACATGGAGAGAGAGCAGCAGGGAGCGGTCTTTAATACAGGAGGGGGCGGAGACAAGACCAGTCACCCTGTACGAGGAGACAGAGCAGCAGTGACTGGTCTTTAGGAATAAATCTGTTCTTTACAGGTACATTTTGGAACTATTAAAAGGGGGAGGGGGTTGGATATTCTATGTGGACCTTCCATTTAACTGTGAGGTCACTTTATTTATTTCATCCATTTCATAGAGATTACAGTGACATCTAGGAGTTATGGGAAGGATGGTCAACCCACTGCTTTGGTAGATCTGAAAATTCCCCAGCACTATGACCAGGGTACAACGGACCCCTAAGAAGAGTAAATGATTGACCCCCTCCCCAGACAAAAATCGGCTCCCCCGTTATCGATCACTGATACACCTGACGTGGAGCACGAGGCCTCCATATGGTGAGATGGCTCCATCTGTGTTTGTGACACAATTTGTATCCAAACCTAGAAGACGGAAATCCATTAGTTCCTAAAGGATCTGATTGGAGATCCGGGCTCATTCACAGCAGGTCAGCGGACCTGGGACAACACACGGGCTCATAGAAAGCAATTGCCCCGTGTGCCCTGTTCATCCCGGGTCAGCTGACCTGGGGGCAACACAGGGGCCCATAGAAAACAATTGCCCCGTTCACCCCGCACCGTTGTGTAAACATGTGACACACAATGTGATACAATGCGACCCGCCGATGTGCACAGAGATGAATGAAGTGACATTTTGTGTTGTTTCAATAAAGTTATAAAAGAAAAGTAAACAATGTTATACATTGTAACAACGCATGGCTCAGCCCTTCACACCACATATTATACAGAGCATACCACACATGGGCCCCTTGATTGTCAAGTGTGGGGCCCGCTATCCAGGATAGGGATTGAGTTATGAAGAATCGCCATCTGCTCTTACACTGACAGAAGGATTCTGGGATGAGCGGGGCCGGACGTACACCTTTATACCCCGTGTAGACACCTCTGGCTTTGTATCCGGGGAACGATGTCGGTGGCCTATCCCTTTAAGAACAGACAAGGCTAGGCCAAGGAGCTGACAATCAGCTGCTCCCCAGTCGCCATCCCTCTGTGTACCATCACCTATGTCAGGGCCTTGCACACATCTGAACCAGAGAGCAGCTGGTTGCCCATAACAACCAACCAGGTTCACGGGGAACAAGGAGCTCTACATGGTTGCCACGGGCAACAGCTCCAGTCCCCCTCATTGCATGACCTGCGTATCAGAGACAGGAGGCCGCCATTCCCCAGCCCCCCTCATCCACCAACATAATCTCCCTTTCCCATCCCCCCGAAACCCCCATTACTTTTTCCAGTAGCCCGTTCCTGCCGCCTCTCGCCGCCATCTTGTCTCATCCCCGCTGTCTCCTGACCTGGCGAACGCTAATTGGTCACCACCGAACCCCGGCCCCGCCCACTCATCCGCTCGCCGCGCGCACATCCAGAGGAGCACATTGCGGCTGGGCGCGCGAGGAAGGGGGCGGCCCCGGAGGACGTACAGAGAAGGAGCGGGGCGGGGTTCTGACATGGAGGCGGATGGGTAAGATGAGAGCGTCTGCGGTTGCTAGGAAACGGGGAGATGATGATGGCGGGGTGAGCAGAGCGATGGGGGATCGGGCCGGACTTCGATACAACACGGGAAATGTCTGAGGGTTCCAGAATCCATAGACTTTATTATGAGTATCAGAAGGGGCACCGTGGCCCTGGCCCATCTTTGTCATTCTGTATTAGGGGGCAGCTTCAACCAGATGTCACCTGAATGTTGGTGTTCTCTGTACAGCGCTGCGGTATATGTCAGAGCTATATACATGTATAATAGTGTGTGACTGAGTGGGGACATTAGAGTGTAAGCTCCTCTGTACAGAGACTGATGTGA